TTTTTGAATTTATTTTCAACTTGTTAATGTTATTTGAACTTTTTGAATTTTTTAAAAACTTTTTGTATTTATTTTGACTTTTTACAATTATTTTAACTTTTTTGAATTTATTTCAATTTGTGAACTTTTTTTTTAACTTTCAGAATTTACTTTATTCAGCTTCAGGCAGATTTATTCGAACAGTTGCCAGTTTGATTTTTTTTTTTGCTTTTCTTCTTCTTCTTCTGCTTCTTCTTCTTCTTCCATTTATAAATTTACCTTCTATCGCAAACAGTTGTTGTTTTCAGCTATTTTGAATTTAACTTGTTCTGTCCCCAAGAAATTTTTGTTTTAACTAATTCTATCTCTCTTTTTTTTTCTCTCTTTCTTTTTCGTTCGCTTCTTTCTCAAGCAATTGTTAGAATAACAGGGTTACCGTTCAATTTAATTGTTCTGTCCATGCAGTTTCCATTGAAAGCTGTCCCTGACTTTAGCTGGTTAAATCTCTTCCTTTCCTTTTTTTTTTAAGAGAGGTTAGCCCCAGTTTAATTGGGGTTACTGCGAGAAGACAGCGTATCTCAGAAGGGGCATTTGATTTGATGAAGTAAAAAATGATGATTTTCGGGAAATATCAAATTCTCACTCTGAGCTTTTGAGTGAGGATAGCCAGCTTTCAGATCAATACAAAGCGTTTGAGGAAGCGGACAATGGTGGCGCCGGGCGATACAGTGTGAATCTGTTCATTTTCCAGAATTTCTATGATGTCTATCTAGCTGTAGACGTAATCAAGCATAAAGTTATGGATGATGACCTTAACCACGATTTAGCTGAATGTCAGTCAGCAGCATATTTGTGAAGGTTTCTTGTTCTTCTTCTTGTTCTTTTTTTTCTTGTTCTTCTTGTTCTTGTTGTTGTTTTGTTGTTGTTGTTGTTCTTCTTCTTCTTCTTCTTCTTCTTCTTCTTCTTCTTCTTCTTCTTCTTCTTCTTCTTCTTCTTCTTTCTTCTTCTTCTTCTTCTTTCTTCTTCTCTTTTTTCTTCTTCTTATACTACGATTCCCTTTCTTCCTATTCTTCTTCTTGTTTTCCCTTCTTCTTCTTCTTCTTTTTTCTCTTCTTCTTCTTCTTCTAGAGCTTCTTGTTTTCTTCTTCTTTCAATTTTCTTCTTCTTCTTCTTCTTCTTTTTTTTATTCTTCTTCTTCTTCGCTATTCTACGATGCCCTTTGCTTCTACACCCCTCCATATTTTTGGATGCTGCTAGAGATGTTTCTTCTTCTTTTTTTTTTACTTGTCCGCCATCTATCATATTATATATATACATATTTATATATAATATGTGTAGGAACGCAGAAAAAGAATATATAAATATGTGTATATTATATATATATATATATATATATATATATATATATATATATATATATATATATATATATATATAGAGCCCAGACAAAAAAGGATATATGCGTGTATGTGTATATATACTAGGGCTGTACCGAATACTCGCTTCGAATTCGCATTGGGGCCGAAAAGTGGACCGAATAACTATTCGGTATTCAGCCGAATACTTGCGGTCGGACCGAAAACGAAAAGTGGTTACCTTACACCCGTTTCTTAATACACTGCTATGGACTGAAATAACTCTCTCATTACCTCATTAGTTGCTGTTTTCCTAAGGCTGTCGTAGCGGAGGAAACTGCGACCCTGTTGCGTGGTAC